GTGAGAATCGAAATGGACAAAATGTATTTTGAGCTGTAGTTAAAAAGATGTGCATTTTTATAAACTTATCTTTTTCTTAGATTAATATAATACTAAACAAAAATAAAATATTTAATATTAAAAAAACGAATATGAAATTAATTAATTCAGAAATTAAATAAGATGTCTATTCAAAATGTGGTGATTCTCTCATTTTTTGTACATTTCGATATTATAAAAGGTATTTAATTGCGGTATCAATAGATAAAAATTATACAATTTCTTCACTGTGAGTAAAAATTTAAATATAAAGAATTTTCAATAAATTAATAATTGGTATTAATATCAGAAGGGGGTGTCTGTTTTAGAATTAGTATTTGATGAGGAAGTACTAATTCTGCAAGGAAAATGTGATAAAATTACACTCCCGTATAACCGACTAACCTTCCGGAAGTTATCTTAACAGATAACTTCCGGAAGGTAAGGTAAAAAAGGATTTTTTTTTTTTTTTTTTTTTTTTGGTTTATTGATAAATATTACAATCTGTCTCAATAAAGGACATTTATAACTAATTAATTGTTGATTTACTAAATTTTTTTTTTCTTACCCTCCAAAATGTTTATTGAAACAATTACATATATAGTATACAATAATACAATATATACATGGTTTACTAAATAAAATTTTGTCAGCTATGAATTAGTCCAAATACAGATCAATATTTCGGGTATCGATGTATTGATAGATTTATTCATGTCGCACGTTTGTTGCGAAAAGTAATTATGAAAAATTTTAGAAAACTCAATCGCTAAGTAATGTGATAAATAAGCAGTTCGTAACAAAAATGGATGTCTCCTGTACGACCATTTTTATTTTCAAAGAAACCGCAAAAACTTATTTTTCAACTATTTGAAGGTATTAAATTTATTGAAAAAAATCTTTCTATTCGTTATTCTATGGAGGAAAAGCATTATTTGCACAAACTATCGATTAAAGCTTTTTAAAGCTAGCAAGCCTAATCGAAATCTCATTTCTGTTCAAAATGGAGATGCCAACTTTCGGTAGCAAGCTCCCAAATTTTGCCTCTGTGAAATCAAAAGTTTTTGCACCTCGAGTAAATATTTTTTTATATATAAAAAAGTTTGTATTATTTTTTTTTTCTCACTCTTCGACGATATTATTGAACAAATACAATTATAAATACATACAATATATATACATCCTTTTTTTTTTTTTTTTTTTTCTTTTTTTCTTGTATTGAGTTATATTCGAAATTCACGAGTCTGTTATGAAATTTTAGCTCCATCATAAATCAACTGAATGACTTTTTGCAAGATTGAATTTATTTTGTTACCATGAAAAGACTATTTATCGAACTCTTTAAATATTCAATACTTAAGGTATAATCCGTATTGAGGAGGACGTAATAACAATTTTTTATAGTTGGTAAATCAATGATATTAAAAACTAATCACGAAAAACCATTATTATAATTTCGTTTATTTATTGAGCTAAACTAATCCAGAGCTAATTTACATCTTCAAAACTCAATTGCATTTAAAATATGTTTTTCAAAGTTCTAAAATTATTAAAAATGTTCTTAGAAACTTGAGAATGTGGCAATGCCCTCATATAATGGACTGTACGATCAGATGTCACAGTGTGGGGCTTCTGAAGTCAATAATTATAGCCACGGACGATATTTATAAAATTCGTTTATACGTACTCAGAATTTATGGGAATATGTACATGTAATTCGTGCTGATTTATGACAAGAAGATATTTTCATCATTTCTTTATTATAAAAGAACAATTGAAAAAGTTGGAAAGCGGAAGGAATAACTTTTCTCTTATCAACTTCTGTTTCAGTCAGTCAACATTTACTTTTATTTAGCCGAGAGTTTTCGAATATTTATTCAACATTTAATAATGAATAATGCATTATAAATTATATTCAGTCCAGTCATTTGGTAGTTTGAACAGCAAAAAAATTGCTGACGAATTTTTCTCGACGGTTCTATATGTTTTTTGGGATGCTGAATTTGAAAATCGATTTACTAGTAGATACGGATATGGCTTCACCATAAAAATGGCAAAACAAATTACGAAAATCGTGTCAGTTTTTTCCGTATAAATCCAAAATGACGCATCCTGAAGAAAAATTACTAATATGAAAAAGAAAGCTGATAAAATTTCCTAAAAAATAATACTAGAACCTGGTCGCTATCTTGTTTTCGTTTGTCTGCCAGTGCGCAATAAATATTGGCGACGTTAAAATCATCAAATTAGTAGAATGAAGAATCTGAATTTGATATTTCTGGAAGAAATTTTACATTGCCTTCAGAGATACAGTGGATCAAAACAGTATTGTCACATTCCATTTTTTTTAAAATTAATAATAGGATTAAGATATTTTCCAGAAATAATATTTATATAACTAAGTGGCCTTTGAGAATTATATTTTAGAAGCAATGCATGTTCGGAATTCAAAAGCTATGTTTAAAGTAAAACTAAAGAGTAAATTTTGAGGGTCAAAATTGTAATGTCACAGTTTTAAGTGTTTACCATTAGCTCGACCCAAAACAAATTAATCCTTTTTTTATTTAAGGAGATTGCAAATGAAGATTGAAGATTATACAATGACAATAATAAAAATCAGTCTTTGCTGTATATTTGCTATAAAAACATGGGTAAAACCAGTCAATATCGAGTCAGTTTAAAAAAACACATCAAATTGCATTCTAATGGACCTAGCTACCGACAAATAGCGAATAAATTAGTAAGTGGTTTCATTAGTGTTCAGAATATTGTACAAAAGTTTAGAAAGTTTTAAACAAATCCTCTCCAGGACGGCCACCAAAATTAAATGAGATCCTCAAAGGAATATCTATTGAATAGTTGAGCAAAATTGCATCAGCCGCCAAGATAGCAGAAGAGGTTGCATCTACTTCAAATACCACCTTCTGTTAGAAATATAATTCACAAATATTATTATTATGGCAGGTTCCAAAGGAAAAAAACCTTTTATTAGAGAGGTGAACCGCAAAAAGGACTTGAGTTCACCAAAATTAAATTAACAATAGCAATTCTGGAAAAATATATTTTTTTTTCAGATGAAAGTAAGTTTAACATATTTCATTCTGATGGCCACAACTACGTTTGGTGCAAACATGAAACTATGTTTCAAGCTCGACATGTGAGGCCCTCGGTAAGACATGGAAGTGTGTTCTGGAGTGTCCAAGGGAGGCATGGAATGATGTGTAAACTTAATCTTTATTGACAATATTATGAATGCCAAACAATATGTCGACATTTTGCGACATAATTTAACAAGCAGAGCCGAAAATCTAAGGATCGGAGATGCATTTATATTCCGACAGAACAATGACGCCATGCACAGAGCAAATAAAATTAATAAACGGATGCTGTAAAATGTCTCAAGCCTATGGAAAACGCCACCACAGTCTTCGAACACAGATGCAATAGGGGATACCTGTCAGATTTGAAAGTAAAAAAAAAAAAATCTTCAAAAAACTATTTAAAAGAAACTTTGTCAGAGGAATGGCGTAAAATTCGACAAGACCTAATTCAAAATCTTGTTTTGACGATGCCAAGAAGATTCCAGAATGACACAGATGACAACGGTATGATGATTAATACATATCCTGTTCGTGAAATAAACCTCAAATTAAAGTGTGTCAATACTTTTTTGACCGTGTTGAAGTGATTTTTCGTTTACTAAAGTTTTTAATTAAATAAATCCATATCTTTCCCCCCAATTATGTATTTTTCTAAATCTTTTATTAAATAAAAATGTTTGACAAATCAATTTTGGACTATTTCACAATGAAAACTAAAAAAAAGTTAAGTGTGGCAATAGTTTTTTGATCCACTGTATATGCGGAAAATAGCGAAATTTCTGAACTTATTTTAGTTTTTTAGACATGACTCGGAAATTATGCATTTTGTCAAAATTAATACTATTAAAAAGTCAAATAGGATAAAATCTACTATCAATTTTATACATAGTCTTTTGATGTAGTACCAACGGTTGAGGAGTTAAGGTTAGCTTGAGTTGAGGAGGGCCTGTTGACTGGTAGCTTATTTTACAAGAAATATCTGTTTTCGTCAGTTTCTCCTCCTCCTCCGCCCCTCCCCCCCCAAAATTCATAATCTACTGATCTTTTAAAGAAATTCTTATAATCTTATAATAAAAAAATGAGATGGTTAAGCGGCTGTTAAAGCGCACGGAACCGAAGGCTTTTCACTCGTTATAGGTTAATTTATTGGGGAATTTACAGAGGGAGCTTTTCAATATGCTACCTCTAAGTGGATCAGCACTTGTAAACTTCGAATCCTGTATAATCCAAAAATATTACAGGTATAAAACTCTCAGTACATTTTTGAACAAAATAATTAGCATTAAATTGTAAATCGGACTAATAAATCAAGATTTTCCAAGTTTTATGGTTGAATATTAGTAACAATCCGTAAGATACTTAATAAGACAAAACCCTATTAACATATGGCTATTTATAAGAATTTTTTTTTCTTCTGTCCGCTGGGACTTTTTTATTTTTTTTAATTATACAAAGAGAAAACGTTTAAAACTCGATAAGGTATTTTAAAGTCATCCATAAATATCTGAATTAAACATCTGATTCCGTTCCCAAATCTGCGTAGCGGTCATTTACTTCATTTCCTAACTACATATTGGCACTAACTTGCTCAAGGATTTTTCTTCCACAGTTTTAGTTCTGAACACCTTCTCTTTAGATCAGATAACATTATCTTTTTAAAAAAACTTTTTTGAAAAGATCTATTGCCAGTTTAGTCCATTCTGCATTTAGTATTTAATAACTTCTAATTCATAGGAAATGACCTTTGAATCTTGAAATGCGAAGACAAACAAAGGATTGTATTTTTCTCACCTTAATCAGACTGACATGAGCAATGAGTTTTAGTCTTGTTCGACAGGTTCTAATTTTTTTTTTTTTTTTTTACAGCTTTTAAAAAAGTAAATGGAGAAGCTGAGGGACTATCAAGGTACCGTCGGCCTCTTTCACCAAATCAGAGACCATCTGAAGGAAAAGTTCTCCGGCTGGAGGGAATCGCTGACTGTCCTCTCCAGGCAGAAGCAGCCGCCGGAGGAAGCTGGAGAAGAATATGCTCATATATTCAGGTGTTTATTGCATCAGTACTAGCCTTAGGCATTCGGCGCCCCCCTTCCATCGCCACTCCGGCCATGACGTCATCTCCTGCCCCCCAAAAAATAATTTTTTTTCTTAGGCTGCTTTATATTCGTAACATTTGAATTTTATTTCATTAAACATTTCTCTGATACAGTTGCTTTATTGAAAGGCTAAAATTAATCATTTTAATACGTTTTATATTTTATTTTTAGCAAGTGGTGAGAGCCCGTGAATATCAGCCGGCTCTTCGGACTGATTGCCGGGCAATTGCCCCCGTTGCTCCGTTCTAAGGCCGGCGCTGTATTGTACATTAAAGTTCTACAAATAATTATTTTATATATTGACAGCTATAATTTTATGTTAAAAATATAATTGGAGCAAGGATTCAGATCATGACTTAGTATATAGCCAACGCTGGAGCCAAATTTGCATTGGTCCGAGTGGATTGGCATCTATTTTGTGACGGATTTGCAGAATAGAACTCATTTCTCGAATTTCAGTTAGAACAGATTGATATAGTTCAATAAAAAAAAAAAAAAAATGAAAGGTTCTGCCCATCCTAATTGAAGAACATTAGAGCCTAAAGCTCGACAAATAACAACTTAATCATTCTAACATCAAACAGTATTATTAATTTTATTATTCTATTTAGGAAAAAGACACGCTTCGAGCTAGTACTCATATCTGCAGCTGTCATGGGAATAGAATTTTCCTATGCTGCAGAAACCGCCTTCGTTTCTCCTACTCTTCTGGAGATTGGTGTCGATCATGCGAGAATGACGATGGTGAGAGTAATTTGAATATGTTTATTTAAATATTTAACTATTAAAATTATTTTAAAAAACATAAATAAAAACAATAATTTGAATTCAATAGTAGATTGATGGTAATTCAAAATCATTTAGCATTCTGTAACTCGACAGATTTCGCAAGGTTATCAACGTTTTTTTTATTAGTCTCTTCTTTCGTTAAATTTAGCTCAAAGATCCATCAAAACAATCATTTTTGCAGTATTGTAATTACTGAATTCTCTTTCCCAAGTTACTCAATCTTCTTACTAAATTAGTGCATTGAATTTTTCAGTATTTTCTTAAACCCTTTCCCCGGGCAACACAGGCGGATTTACGGGGTTAAGGGACTTTTAGGCTGAAACTCCTCTCCCCTTCCCAAAATGGCAAAATACTACCATGTTTTACCAAACAAAATATCAAAAACAATCTCTTAAAGTAATCTTGTTCGTGTAATTACATTTAATACGACTTCAAGAACCACTTAAACACCATTTCATATCGGTAGTAAATTTCTTTCTTTTTTTTCAAATTAATTATCGTTATATATACATCGGCTGTTAAAAGCTATCGGGCTGAAGAGCCCCCCCACCAAAAAAAAAAAATTATATACTGGATCCGCTAGTGCTATACTAATAGCAACCTAGCGGAGTTTAATTCTGGATAATGAAGTATTCTCCGTCTATATAACTTTAGAATCTACTTTATTAAATTTACTATTATGATTTCCTTTTTAAAACATTTTGATTTGTTTTACATTCTTCTGGTTTCATTAACTAATTTTAAGTTGGTCATTATTACAATAACTGAAGGTTATTGTTAGCCATGCAGTGAAAGGTTCTCTCTTAAGTTTTTTGTCCATATCCTGTCCTGTCCCTGGTGGTCTTTCATCAGGTTGGCTGATAAAAACCCTTTTGCTATCAAAAAGTTGCTTTCCCATTCAAAGAACAATGTGTTAATTTCTCAAAATCTTAATAAAGTAAGCCTCTCCTGTGACTATAACTGAAACAAATGCTGGCTTGTTATTTAGTTCATAAACTGGGTGTGAAAGGTTCAAAAGTAAAAATTTTGTTAATCATCCAAGAGCAAATTCATGTCAGTATGTTCCTCTTTTTATCAGAAGAGATCAGCAAAGGAAAGATAAATCTTTTTTAAAAAGCATTTATTTTTAATTATGGACTAAATTTAATTTTTTTTATTTAATACCTTTTGTTTGAAAGGTTTGGGCACTCTCACCCTTGGTCGGTTTCTTTTTGACACCAATACTTGGGTCTCTCAGTGACAGATGCTCACTACCACTTGGCAGAAGAAGACCCTTCATCTTAATGCTCTCTGCTGGGGTGTTATTAGGTAAGTTAATTTTTGTTTTTATGGAATAATGTAGTTATGATATTTGTATATTAATATTTTACACATACATGTGCAATAAATTATTGTAATAGTTGTAAGTAATTAAACTGAATAATACTTCCAGTTGGCCTTTTTTATTGTTTTTTTTTTTTGGTAATGTAATTTTTCTAGATGAAACAAGTTTGTTTCATAATAAAATAAAATAATATGCTATTTAGTTAAATTAAAATATTTTTTTTTATATTTGGGTTTTTGGGTCTACAACTTAAGGAGTCATATCCAAAACACCCAAAAACCACTGCTCTCTGTCCATCCAATCTCCTTCATGGAGTCCTCTGGCTGCCATGCATTCCTCCACATCTTCTATCCATTTTTTCTTTGGCCTGCCACGCTTCCTTCTTTCAGGTGGCATATAGTTATAAATTTTCTTTGGCCAGCAGTTCTCATCCATCCGCATTAAGTGGCCATACCATTTTAACCTTTTGGTTGAATTAAAATATAAAATCAATAAATCACTAAGATAGTTATTATACTTTTATTTGTTTAGAAAAAGTAATCATTTGATTTTGGCTAGTAAAACATAAATACTAAAATATCCACTCCTCACCCCAATCGTAATAAAAGTACACCAGTAATACCAATATACTTCCATCAATGTAACCTTTTCAGTGAAATATACTTTCATCATAAAATCAGATTTTCTATTTATATTTTTAGTTTTATATAATTTGAGAACAAATTATGATACTTATTCAGTTGCATTCTCCTGTTGTTAAGGACTCATATTAGTGCCTAATGGTAAACTTATTGGCGAAAAATTTGGAGATAAGAAGACTCATCCTTGGGGTGTCTTTTTTACTGTGGTTGGGACAGTACTACTGGATTTTGATGCAGATGCTTGCCAAAGTCCAGCTAGAGCCTATTTACTGGATGTTACTCTACCAGGTATATATTTTTAAATAAATGAGATACAGGTAAAAGCAAAGAAAAAGTATAGTATATATATATATTTTAGATTATTCATCAAAATATATTCAATATATTTTGATCAATGTAAATATTCAATATTATTCATAACTCTACTAAGGCTGAAACTAGGAGGAACAAAGAGGGCAATTCGTCTCAGAGTTTTGATCAAAATATTATTTTTAAGTAAAGTAAATATTATTTGTTTATGATTTTTTTAATGGTTTGAGTTAAATCCATTCAATAAATTGAGTTAGTTTCATTTCAACACAGTGATGTTGTTTATTTCAGAATTTATTACTTAATCTCTGCAAAAAACTGTTGAAATTTGAGAACATACAACAAAATTTAGTTTTTTTTAACAATGCATGTTTTTACTGAAATATATCTTGTAAACACACTTTCCAATCAAATTTTAATTAATATGTGATAATTTATTCATTATATTTTCAATTTTTTTACCTAGCCCTTACAATATGTTCAATTAATTTGCTAATGCCTTTTTACAACTGTTTATTTTTTAATTCAGTTGATTAAATTGAACCTGTCGATTTTTTAATTGATCAAGTTTCCAGTTTCATAATCATTTCATGTTCTGCCTCTAATGATACAGATAATCATTAGTATACATATATCTTTTTTTATTAAATTTTAATATTAATATGAAATTATTATTAAATTCAATTCTATGCTTTCAGATATTCTTTGACTCTAATCGTAAAAATTTTCTTTTGTAATAGGTACAGGTATTAGTAACAAGCAAATCCATTCAATAAATTCAGAATTATCTAATAAAACTAAAAATTCATGACAATATAGTTTTTCTGAATTATTGGATATTACAATACTCAAAGAAAAATGAAAGGTTTGATATAACTATAAATTGATATACATATAAATAAAAAAAAAGTAATATCACTAAAAAAAGTAATATCATGCTCAACTGCCAGTTGATTAATTAATGATTTAATTAAGAGTACCCACATTAAAGAAGCTGGATTTGCCCCTGGAGGGTCTCCCGGTCATCAGCTGGATTCAAACCTGGGACCTTGGGCTCTAAGAGTCAGTGCTTAGCTACTAAGATACTCCATCCACACAAAAAAAAAAAATATATACTATATAAATATACATTACATTTATAAATGTAAATATATAATAAATGTAAATACATGCTATAAATATAAATTGATACACGTTCATACATTATATACATTGATACACATTCATATATTATTTTTTATCTGTTTTCTTAACTATTAATGCTGAGATTATTTCCAATATTAACACGTTAGCTGCAGCTGTGGTCCCCGGGTTCCGATATTCGTCTCAATTTCTGCTGCAATTATTTCTAATTTTGCCTAACTTACAAAGTCTTCAGAATGGTCATTTTAAAAAATATTTGAATGGGAGTTGGATAGATGTAAAGATAAATACAAACAATCATTGCATCTGATATAAATGTAAATAATCATTACATCTTCACATAAAGCTATCAGAGGCCATGGCTCTAACCACTACTCATGTGTCAAATACCTTACCATTTAATATTGAGCCATTATATTGGTTCATCAGATTGTAGTACTTATTTATTTTGCCAATTGGTCAATAACGATACTGTTGTTTTTCCGCCTTTAGCCTTTATACTTCCCAAATTTTCTAAATTTATTCTTATGGAAGTAATTCCACATACCTTTTTTACTGCTAGAATATTTTCACCTTCTATATGCTGTGTACAGCATTATTTAATTATTATTTAATGTTTTAATGATATTACTTAATGTTTTTTCTGACTGGTTCCCTAATCATCTTTGTTTTGAATTATTATTTGATCAACCATCTACATATCTAATATTTAATAATTTAATTATTAATTCAAGTCTCTTTGTGATACATCTGGTTCAAATTTAAAAATATTAATGATTAAAAATACAAAAAATTCCTTCTATCAGTTTCGTTATTGTATAATTCTTACTTTCATTTTATGCATTTTAATAACAAAATGTATTATTGTTTTTTTCTTCAGAGGACCATGCTAGGGGTCTAAGTACCTTCACCATTATGGCAGGACTTGGAGGATTCATGGGTTATACCATGGGGGGAATCAACTGGGATAGTACTTGGATTGGTAAGTTAATAGACCATGCTTTTTGAAATTGTTGATAAGTTTAATTTATTTTAAACTAGAGTCTCAATGTTAAGACTTTATATTTCATTCATATTGAAACAGTTAGTTATATTCTTTGTCCTCGTTTGATTTTTAGTATAAAAATTGTAATTATAATGTTGCTTAAATGAAGTAGGCAAATTAAATTAGCCATTATATAAATATCTGGTTTCTGTTCATGATAGTTAAAAAAATTGGATTTGGAATATTATTGTCATATTTATCACTAGCGGATCCAGGATTTAATTTTGGGGAGGGCTTCAGCCCGAAAGATTTTTTTTCATATATATAACGATAATTAATTTGAAAAAAAAAATAAAGATACTGACTACCTATATGAAATGGTATTTAAGTGATTCTTTAAGTCCTAATTAATGTAATTACAAGAACAATAATACTTTAAGAGATAGTTTTTAATATTTTTCTTCTATAAAACATCGTTATATTATACCGTTTTGGGGGCGGGGTCTTCAGCCCGAAAGCCCTTCCTTTCACCCCTGTAAATCCGTCTGTGGTATTTATTATTCTAAATAGAAAAATATGCTTAGTGAGTTGGATCTCAGGATATTTATTATGTGAAATGCCATTTTCACCTTGAAGGTGTCATAATTTTACGTATATTTAGGTAAAGGAGAATGGGCAAAGTCATAGAATTAAATAACAAAAAACTATAAACAAAATAAATTAATTAATTCAATTAATTAGACACATTTTCTTTTTAGAATATTCACTCATTTGGTATCACAGTATTTAAAAATGTTTGTTGTTAATATTTCAGGAGAAATACTCGGTGGCCACGTCAAAGCTGTCTTTTCTATAGTTACTATAATCTTTCTTATGTGTATTATGTGCACTGTTACAAGCTTCAAGGAAATGCCTTTACATGTGGTGTGCAGAAAAGGTTCCATACCAATGGTGATTTAATTTCCAAGTTGTTTGAAGTAATAGAACATTATATGAAATTATTCATAATGATTGTCAAACCATATTTAAACTTCAATGTAAATTTATACTATTTAGGTATAAGTTTTTAAATAATCATTTAATGATGTTATATAATGAAACTATGTAGTGAAAATGAAATGTAGTTAAACAAATAGCATCATACAGATGTATTGTATGAACATTTTTTAACTAATAAATAAAAAAAAGTTTAAAAAGAACATTCCGATATTAATTCATTTTTATTTGTTTCAGCAAATTCAAAAAACATGCAGTTTAGAAGAATCTCAAGAAGAGAAAATAATAAAAGTAGAAAAAGACTCTTATGGAAGTTTAAGTGATTCAAATAATGCATCCGAAGTCTTAAAGGTAAAACATAATCGAAAATAAAGATTTCGGTCAACCTGAAACTGATTAAAAATAAAAGCACTGTTTTTTTTACTGTGGTGAAATATTAAATAATAAAATACTGTTATTTTAATCTCACAATATTTTCTATGAAATATAATGTATTGTATTGACAATATTATTAAAGTTATTTTGTCAATTATTTTTAATTATTATATCTATGACAATATTCTGAACATCATATTTTATTCTCTAATGTTATATAGGAAGAACAAAAGCCTATAATGAATACCATAGAAGAAGAAACCACTGCAGAAATCAATATTACTCCAAATGAAGAACTGAAGGTATATTTGGAAAACATTTTTTTAAATTTTGAGTTATTAATCTTAATACTCTTTCTGTTAAGGATTTTGAACTGTAGAAATGAAACTGGAATTAACTCTATATACGCATATACGCTGAAAATGCAATTTAATTATATTTTTATTAATTATATAATTAATTATAACTTAATGATATAATTAAGTTCTGGGGATGCCAGATTTCCATTTATCCCATATCCTAACAAAGGAAGAGAAAAATAAGAAAGTTTTTTAGTATGGGAAGTGGGTGGGGGGATTTAAGGCACATTATTAAATCAAGCTCGATATTTCAAATATCATTAGTCTATGAGTACAGTTTTCAGCTTTTAAACATAGGATAGATGATTCCAAAAAAAAACAAGTAATTTTGAAAAATGTCAACAATCACGTTTTTCTATATATGCAGGCTTATGTAAGGTTGACAAACTATTATGCTATCTCAGTTATTACTTTGATCTTGCATCAATAGATTCCATATTCTGATGTAGGACAGCATTGCTTAATTTAAGCATTAAGCCATGCATACATGAGGTCTACAATAACTGCCAGGTATGTAACTCAGAAGACAAAGAGAATACTATTCATTTCTTGGAGGATTGCATTCTGAAGAAATATTTAATACACTGAAAGGTACTAACTGGAAAGCCCTAAGTAATTATATAAAGTAAGCCATATTGCAAAGAGCTCATCTAGTCAGTATGTAAACGATTTGTGGAACACCTTGTTTATTTGTTATATATAATATTTATCTGTTATGTTATTTATTATGATGGTTAATAGAGAAATGTAATTGGTAAAAATTGTATTTCTCAGTTAATGTATTTAGAATATAAAATGAAATATATTTTGTGGGAATAATAATCTGAACTTGACAGACAGAATTTTCCATTGTCTATGTGTTATAAGATGTAATAACTATGGAATATTTTGTATCTTGTCAATAAAGACATTTTCATTGAATACTTTAGCTGAGGAATAAAATAATTGATTAAGCACAAATTGAAACAAGCCATCAATTTAAATCCAATTTGTATTAGAGCAATTTAATTGAAAAATAAATTCCATGAAAAACTAGTTGCCCATACTCTATTTCATTTTATATATCATTTGTCAGTGTCTTAAAACATTACTAGAGTTTATTTTAAATTAATCAAAAGAAAACAGCTCAAAATGGAGCACTAGCAACAGGGCATCAAGGCCGGAGGAAATAATATTGTGCTGCTTCAGGATCGGCCATTGCGAATTCCCTCATGGATGTCTTCTCCACGGTCTGGAAGCTCCTACCTGTGTCACGTATGGTGCTCCTAGAATAGTAACCCACTTATTGCTTGAATGCCAGCAGTATGCACCAATAAGAAAAAAACTGAAGTTTAGTTTCAATATACGAGAAGTTCTAGTAGACTATGAAAATGGTGTTCAATCTCTTATAGATTTTTTAAAAGAAATGAAGTTTTACCTCCGAGTGTAGAAATATGAGAAATGCCAATGATCCTTTGGGGTAGAGGCATTACCACAATAAAAAAAAAATCATACCATATTCATTTTTATTTAAATTATTATGTGTTTGGAAATATTTATCTACGTATATAGAAACATCAATAATGTGTGACTTCTCAATTTAACCACTTAAAATATTCCTTTCAAATGAAAATCACTTAAAAAAAAATCTTTGCATATTTCTTCTATGTATGACTGTTGTACTACCTATTCTTCATAAACCATGCCTAAGTTTTATTTTAGAGTGCTACCAATGGGTAGTTTCTCAACAAGCGTGTTTCATGTGATAATATTCCTCTGTACACATTTACTTGATGTATTCATACTAATACAGTTGTAAATATCATAATAAAAGTTTTAAGTTTTATTTTCATTGAATGATGATAAATATTTAATTAACTAACATAAATTTCTTTAAACTGAAATGACAATTTCTATTTTATCAGGCATCGTCACCAAGCTTAAGAGAATATCTCATGTCTATTATTTTCATGCCAGCATCTCTGAAAATTCTCTGTCTTACAAACCTCTTTTCATGGATGGCTCATGTTTGTTATTCATTATACTTTACTGATTATGTTGGAGAAGCTGTTTTTGGAGGAGACCCTAAAGTAAGTGATCTATATAAATTTCTTTTGTAGTAACATAACATAACTTGTTTATCACTTAAGAATCAAAATAATAACATATATTTATTAAAATATTTAAAGATGATTAAGTCATGGATATCTTAAATATTTTAACAGGCAGAGGAAGGATCAGTTGCTCATGAATTATACAAAGATGGCGTGAGGTTTGGTTGTTATGGTATGGCGATGTATTCATTATCTTGTTCCTGCTATTCAATGCTTATAGAAAAGCTCATCAAGAAATATAGGTACTTGGAATATTTTAAATTCAAAGGTCAATTTGTTTAAATTAAATGCATGTTGATAAACTAAAAAATAAGAAAATAATAATAATAAATAATAAAAAATTAAAAATCCAAAATAGAGGTTTATTCTTTTAATGTTTATATCTTGTATATAAGTAGCAGCATTGCAATATTTGGAATTGTTTATTCTCTCTTCTCCCCGGTCAATGACTGCTGCAGCAGTTAAAAATATTTTTCTTCTTATTATTGAATACCATTCTATTAGCTAAAATTAAACCATCGAAAATTTGCAAAATTGAGTTGTATTTTTACATCTTCAGTGCCAAGTAATCTGGGCAATTGCTCCATGGCACCGAACTGGAGGGGTATACACCACTACTTAGGAATTAAACAATATTTTGCAAAGCATATGGGAATAATTAATTTTAGGCTATTAATATAGTAACTGAATTAGGAAAATATTGACTGAACTAAAATTCAAATAATAATTAATTTAATACTGCTTAAGAAATAAATTTAATTTTGTGAAGGAGATCACGTCATTGCCCAGGGGCGCCAAATGTCTAAGGCCACGCCCTGTGCATCTTATCTTTCTGAATAGCAGTTCGAATTTTTTTTTTTTATGGCCATAATCTAATGTAATGCCTAATGCCATAAGAGATTTTGTTTAAATTTCACAGAAATATTTGCATATTTATCTGTGAGAATAAACCTTAATTTCAAAGGAGATTTTGTTAAAGATCTCATTATTCATTGTTACAACTTATCCTATTGATCTTAACTAAGGATTATTAGTTATTACAAGAGAACGGATTTCCATGTTATTGCACTTTTTATTTGCTTGCGAGCAAAAACTTTGGACCCGAACATCAATCCTTTTCAGAACCTGTGGAATAACATATTTAAATTTTATATTGCATGTTTTGCCGTTTTTGGCTTAAATTGCACAATTTTAGCTTTTGTTGCATTAAATTGCACTTTTTTGCTAAATTAGACGATTCATAAATACAAATTTATTAGAGAATGTGTTAATATTTATTTTACATTTTATTTTACCTTATTGTTCAAATTAAATTCATTATTCAAAATAGAAAAATATGAGAAAGGCTAATAATTCTTTGTGAAGCAAAAATCATATTCATCACAAAACGAAGAAGCAAACACAAGTGAGATCTATTCTTGGAATAGAACTTGCCTAAAGTATTGGATAATAAAAAGCTTCTTTCCTAGAATTAGCTGCTTTGTTAGTAAGACATTTATAGTTATTGTTTTGGCTTGAATCCTCACTCACCGTTCAACCCTTCAGTGTCACTTCTGGCTTTGAATTGATTTGTAGAAATTTCATTCTTATAAAAAAAAAAATTATATTGTTGGAAATAAAACCTAGTCTCCCATCAAAAATTAAAATCTAGATATAAAAATATCCCAATTTGTGAAGACAAAGAATTTGATGAGAAAATTCTATACACCTTATGAATCAAATCACTGATAGACGCTCCTTTGGGAACAAGTAAGAAAAAAATATTCTTATCAAAGAATGAATGTTTTTTAGAAAGAACATAATCCCCCAAAATATATATTTTTAGTGGTATTGAAAAACAGCTTCAACACTCATTTTTGGACACTCGAAAATCTCAAACATTACTGTCTATTTCAATTTTTTTTCAAAATTCTTTTAAATTTTAACAAAAACGTTTGGAAATGTATAATATTGGAAACTCCAACTCTACTGAAAAATCAAGTTTTCATTATTATCTTTAATAAAAGTTATACATCTAAAATTGGTCTGATCTATGTAATATACACATAGGCACCTATGATTCCTGCCTTCATTTATTCTTTCAAACCTTCAATGCTCTGCTTTATTTGATAATAATCTTTATTATAATAGTTGATTAATAATCTGGAATTTCATTTTCAATGTTACATTTCAATATTTTTTATCTCTCGGTTTACTCAAGATCTGATAAGATTTCGATGTATTAATGTTATAAATTAAACAATATTGATGATTTTATATGTTTTTAGGTGTTAATTACACAATTTTACGTATTTTGGATTTATTCTGCACGCTTTTGCACAATTTGAGATTTTTACTGCACGTTTTCCGGATTTTTACTGCAAGAAAATCCGGTCTCGAGTTGTTACCTTCGGATATGGATTTTGGTTCATTAAGAATAATCCTACAAATCAGCAAAATATTTCTAAACCAATCATAATATTGGTAACACTGGTGAATATTTAAACATAACATAAAAGGGAAAAAATATTTTTGGAAAGTATTTCGTTATACCATCAAGCACAGGTGTCGTTAAGAAATAGTACATCCTTAGAAATATTACTGAACCTAGAACTGCCATAGTTTTTTTTTATCTATGAAAATTGATTTTTACATTGTGTATAAATTTCAGTCAGAAATAAAAGCTGGGCTGAGGTATCAATTTAATGACTTATATTTTTAAGATTTTTCTATTATACCTCGAGGCAGTCTCATATGTTCCACATTTATGGTGAATTCAAGTGACTCTTTCCCTCCTCTCGTCAACAATGTTTCCTCGGATCATCCTATACCAAACTACTTCCTACTTCTATGGTACAGCCTCCTGCTATTACAACCCTTGGTCCACTCACATAAAACAAGATTCTGTGTTTCTGAACTTTGTACTCTTTCTCAGAGAACTAAAACGTTCAAACATTCTCTACGAAACAATAAACACCATGCTTCTTCCATATTCTCTTTTGAATCTCACCTTTTTCATTACCTTCTCACATCCAAACAGAATGAATAATTTCTTTAATATTTCTGTTTTAACTTTAAGGATCATTTCTTATTTTTCACTTTTATTAGATTTGTTCTCTCTCTTTCTTTCTTCTTTTGATTCATTTATTCTTGAGATGATTTTCTTTATTGATTTATATATATTTTAATTGTTTATAATGCATATGCTGATTGAATTTTATTAATATAGTTTTTGACCATTTATTCTATTCATTTGTACATGTTTTTTATTCTTATCTAAAGAATAATCAGACTAAAAGTACTCACTTAATTTGTTCCTTAAAATCATGATTTTTAACATCAAATTTTCTTTTAATAGGGCTAGGAAGGTTTATGTTGGAGGTTTACTATTTTTTGGATTTGGCATGCTTCTAATGGGAGCAAGTAGAAGTAGGATTGGAGTTATATGTTTTTCATGGGCTGCAGGAGTAATGTATTCCACTCTCTTCACTATGCCTTACCTATTAGTTGCCCACTATCATTCAACTAATGTGGTAAGTATCGTAGAATAACATATGGAAATAATGTTTTCAACAAATCTAACAATATTTACAATTTGTTTCAATGACGAGTTCATTATTTAGTGGATTCTCAGTACATCTATAAATTCGTATTTTAAGTTTTCGCACATGAAAAATATCTTTTTCAAAATAATCACTTGTAGCTTTTTCTAAATCCAATTTATCCTTTACAGTAATGACTAGAATATAAGAAAGAATAAAGTATTCTTTTCTTTACAAGATGAAAATCCTTCCAAAACATATGAACGTTATAGTACATTTCCTCTTTCCTAAATCTACTCAATTTAAAATGCCATAATTTCCTTTTTAAATGATACCCTAGAAAAAAATTTAAAAAACTCATATCAATTTTTTAGATTACTCTTTAAAAATAATTCTTTCTCTTCTTCCTTGTACCATTTTTAGAGTGAAGAGGTCTCATAATGATATGTATTTATTTATATTTTGAAGATATATTTCAATATGAAAAAATGTTTTGCTGCAGTTCGACAAAGCTGGAAACGACATGGGAATGCGAGGATTAGGAACTGATGTCGCAATTGTAAGCTCAATGGTGTTCCTGGCACAATTTTGCTTGTCGCTGTGTATGGGATCCCTCATCAGCTATGCTCAGACAACTACTGTTGTTGTTATTGTATCTGGTTGCTTAAGTATATGTGGCAGCATAGCTGCATCTAAAGTATTGTATCTTGATTTGTAGGATATCCATCTTTAAATTATTACATTTCCTGTTTTATAAGATTATAATAATCATTAATCAATATTGGATTGTCGTATGGTTCAAATCATTACAAAAAAAATTGCTGTTGGAGATTTTTAAAATAATTTTACTTCTATTTAGTGTGTATCTTTATGACATAAAAGCTTTGTATACAACAAAATTCTAGAAGTATGCCAGTTTTTTTTTATTTTGTACTCTCATCATGTTTCTTTAGAATTTTGATTACTTATAAAAGTTTAATAATTTTTATTATCATAGGATAATAGATTTGTCAAAATCCTCAGTTAGAACATGTAAAGTGCTCACATGTAAACCACCCAAACTTCCCTCCTTATTATAAATTGGCTATTATAAATAGATGTTTGAAATTCAACACCATTATTTTAAAACAGATTATCTATGTCTGGATGGAAGATTTTTTGTTTATTAATTCGATAAGGTGCATTTGAGAAAAAATATATATATGATTGGTTGATGTTTTTTAAAGTTTGATTTACTATTATTTTATATCGAGATCTTTTATTTATTTTTTTTTAAATCTGCTCAGTCAGGACGAAGGTTATGGTGCCAATGATAATATATGTTGAATTTTATAACATTCAGATTAAACTTCTTGGAGATTCTGAATCTCCTCCTCAGGTTCCTCTGGTTTAAAAGACCGAAATTTCAAGATGCATCGATTATATAGATTTTTTTTATAAAAATATTTTTATTTAATCCATGTCTAAAAATGCAATTAGCAGATGGACTGGAGTAAATTTATCAAAACGTAAAAATACACTTAGCAAAGTTTAGTGCATAAAAGTTGTTTCTTACTTTTAAAATATTTATTTTATAAAATTAGTAATTTTATTCCATAGCATTATGTTGAATATTATAATATTAATATTTTATTCAGTATTACTTATAAACAATATATCTAAGTTATAGAGAAAGTTAATTATTTGTATTTCATTAAAATAAATATCAAACTATTCCAAAACTCATTTAGATTTATTTTCTCAGTAAAGCACAAATAAGGAAAGTAATGAAATGTTAAAATGAAAACATGTTTCTAGATTTATATATTTTGTAAATAGGTGTTTGTTCATGTACCATATGAATTATGTATTGACCACCATACTAATCTTAAATATCGCGATTACATGTTTCTTAGTTTCAATCAGGTACTTAAAAAAGTGGTTCTGAAACTGTTGTGTGGTTGCAAGTATTGTTCAATATTTGGCACTTATTATTAGAATCTTGGAATTATTTTAAAACATTCTCAGTAATCTTATTCTTACTAAATTAAAAATAATTTTTTAAATATTTGTTTGATAAATTAAATAATAAGTCATGGACATAAATAAAATGAAAACATAAAAATATTAATTTAATTCTTTGATTTTAAATTTAATCTTACAAAAATTCTTTGCACATTTATACCATACTTGCGACACGGTAAGATGTTGTGAAACTCGCTTTGAGAACCACTGATTCAAGGGATGAAGTTTAGATTAAAAAAATTAATATTGTTATTTTATTATAATGATTAAATATATTTGTTTGTTCATTTCATGAAAATTATTTATTAAGTTAATCTGATTCATGTGATTTATTAAACAATTAAAAAAAAATCTCATAATTCTGTTTTACATGAGTTGAGTTCATTCAACAGGCAGCTAAGTTCACAGTAAATTATACTTTTATTAGCATTAGCTGAAACATGGAAAAATGACGTGGTTTATGATGTAAATATTGATTTTAAATAAATCATTTGAGATTTGTAATTTAAAAATTGTAATGAGATTGTTTTATCAAAATTTTTCAATTGATTCTATTGCTAGATGAAAATTTTTAATAAAAAGTGATATTTAGTTTGCGGATACAAGAAATCATGAAAATGAAGGATCAGAGACTGATCAAACCAAAATTAGATCTGGGTTGATGATGATCATAGGCACACAGGTATACTCATGTTAGGCAGTACTTATAAGTTAGGTTGAAAGGATGATTTGTGGAACTTTTGAGAGTAGATAAGTTTTTACAGACCTAATACAAAGTCAATCAACATCATTCATCTCTACCTGAAGGGTCTGTGTAGTGGAAGGATTAAACCTCTTCTGAAGATCGATTGAATAATGTTAAGGAAAGTTTCTTGACTTTGGTATGACAAAATAGTATCTTGAAAGTAATATGTACTTAAATTTAGATTTTAACTATAATTTAAATGCTGAAATTTGTATAAAAATAAATCATGTAAAATTCAGAAGCTTTATGGGAATCTAATGGATTTTAAAACTACAAAAGGTAGCAGCTGTTTGAAGCCTTTTCTATCCATTTATTTTTTAATAATTTTAATGGACATAATCACAAAAATATGTGTAACTATTGAAGAAGAAAAAACAATAGAATGATATTTTTTTTGAAATTGGAAATTTTCTTCAATTATGTTTTATTATTCATAAACCTGACATTGATAAAAACTACTGGTAGTGATTTTCTTGAGATATTTGAATTCCTTCCTCCCTTTCACTACTTTTCTAATAGTTGATAACAACTTAAACAATTTTAGCTTATCAGTATTTCTATCTCGTTAGAAAATTGATCAAATTCAAAATTATCTATGTTGATTCTTACCAATGTTTGGCTTTTGCATCAGTGTTCTGATGGTATAAATTACCAGTGTTCACTATTACTGAAATTGTTTTCTGTTCATACATTTTAATTTTATTTACTATCCATATCAGAAGAAATATTATAGATTAGAATAGACATTTTAAAAAAGTATTGTTTTTTAGTATGATACATGTATTATTTAAATTTATGCAAATTTATAATTTTTTATTTTTCTTAGGGACCTATCATGATCTTCAGTCAGTATAAAGATTGATTGATAAGGTATTTCTGAAACTAAAATTTATTCATTTGATGTTATATTGATAATCTTTCTTCATGGGTTAAAAGTCGGATTGTTAATTTAAATTCACTATTATTTCAGTTAAAATTTTTATGTTTCTCCAAGGGTATTACTGAACATATGATAGAATTAATAAAATAGAAATGACTCCTAATATATATTAGTAATTTCTTTGGCGAAGTCCAAGGATTGTAGAAACATCAACAAAACTAATAAAAGAATATTTTAAACATTTTTATTGTTTGAATTTTTCTTCATTAAAAAAAAAGAGAAAAGTAATATTTTTTTTTCACAAAGTAAACTCACAATTTAAAACACTACCAAACAATAGATTGTCTCAGAACATCAGGAAATCTAATGAAGGATGTATCTGGTAATATCCTTTTAAATGGATCAAGGCCTGAGAGTTAATGCATTTACTTCAAACAAATTTATAAAATAAGATGAAGTATGTAAAAAATAATAATAACTCATATATACAATTTATTCTGAAAACATTTAAATTGCTATGAAAAGTAGTATTTGTTGCTTGGTTAAATGAAAGGGGTTAAGTAACAGAATGATACTTAAATCTGTATGTATTTGTCTGTAATATGAATTTTTGTAAGTATAAAAGTTGTAATCTATAACAAAAAGGAGTTCATTACTGGATATTGTTAATAAGATGTTCTAAAGAAGGTAATGATTCCCTGATATGTTAAAAAAAAATGATATTTGGTTTTTGACAAATAAAAAAATTATTGATGAGGGTAATGATAATCTAGTTGCCAAAAATTAAATCAATTATTTCATTATTATAATAAATAAATAGTACTGCAACAGGTTTTGTGGTCAGTACCATCTTAACCATAACTATCATCCACGTTAGGTATAACTATCACCTGGTTAGGGATTCTGCTGTATTATTCTTGATAGGAATTAATTTAGGATTTAAGCATAAATGATGCCTAAACTGTTCAATGCAATAAAACAAATATTTTTAATATCTGTATTTGTTCAAGCACTCACATTAAAATTTTACAATTGTTTTTAAACATAATTTTATTAACTATTTCTTACAGATGTCAGTCAAGTTATTCATAATACACAAAATAGATTTCGAAACCACTGTTTGTTCAAACTAATGTTATGATTAATAGGTTGATAAACAAACAGATAAGTATTTTTATGATCTACGAGTAATCTAAAACTATTTCGAACATTCTAAATTCATACACAGATAAAAATATACTTTTATAAATATTTTTATTGATCTTTATGGGAAAAAGGATACAGGTAAATAAGTAGACAACACTAATTGCTATTGGGAAGGGTTTTACACTTTTATTTTGTAAATAAATTAATTATCAAGTGAGTCGAACATGTTGTGTTCCATTCCATGATCTCCCAGCTGAAACAGAAAAAAGAAAGAAAATATTAATAATTTTAATTATACTACTTATGCTACAGTAGTTATAATAATTAATTATGCATAGTGGAATGCTTGTAAATGGGTGTATGGTACAATGTTGTTGACAAGTTTAAAATTATATTTTAATAAATCAATACACCAAAAAAGAATATGATTTATACTATTTATAGTATTTGAAAAAAAATAAATAAAAAAAAGAATGAGGCCTCAGAAGAGGAAGTAATTACAGAAGATTTATTCAAGAATGAAAACCCCCTCCTTCCTTTTTCAGTCAACCATTTATCACAAAATTTGATGAATGCAATCTTTTTTAGAATCAGTTACAAGTCCAAAAATAAAAATAAATACAATGTTGTAATTATTAAAGACATAGGCTGTTAGTATTTTTACTTATTTAATAAATGGTCGTAGAATTTCAATATGGCTGATATAACTATCAGTAATAAAATATGACTTATAATAAACCACACATTTTAAATAGATTTTTTAGAGATTAAGTTTCCAGCTAATATTATAAAATAACATACCTTAATAATTTTGTTTTGCTTTAGATGTTAGGATTTAAAAAATATATATATATAAATCATATCATTAAATTCTGTTAAAAACTTATTTTTCACTGTTAGTTATTCACAATTAATTTTTCTTATGGTTTTCAAAGTTTGAAATTTCCTCATCATACAAAAAATATGTCTAATATTATACCATCCATTTGGGATGAAAATAAGAATCTGAAGCAATGGATGACAATAATTGTTTACAGGTTTCAAATTGTTTTACTACAGTAGAATTATATTATAATTATTTTTTTAAAACTTTCGGTTTTATATTAAATGTTTTTCTATGGCGATTTTTTGAGGTACAAATTTTACTTAACGAAAATACAGAAAATGGACTAAAACCAAAGACCCAAATGATACACCACAGCGCTATCTATTTAGAGCAATACTTGGTTGGGGTC